TTCAGCACTGTTTCCATGGAAATACACACATGCACAAACAACGCTCAAGCACAAAGAGCTCACCGGGGTTATTTGACACAGCTTTCGGCCAATGAAAATCTGATCTGAATACTAGAAGCCTGAAGGAGCTTGTGGTCAGTGTTCATAAACTAAAGGTGGCTCTGACTGAGCTGGAAGCAACATAGGTTCCCTGTCTGCCAGTTCGCTAACATCTCAGAGCTCTTACGTAAAAGCTCTTGTTTGCCCTGTTTTGATTTAGAGGTATGGCCAAAACCTCATGCACCAAGAGCAATTAAGAAAAAGCAGAATTCATGACCAGACTCAGATGAAACATGAAATTAGATTTTTACATTTCACAAAATAAATAGTGACTGCTGTATTCCTATAAAGAGACTCGCCAATGTGATGTCATGGTGATTGCCAAGGCATTATTATGCGGTTGCTAAGGGCTTTCACCGTGTTGCTAGAATAGGTGTTCCACATTTATATGCAGTCACTAAGGTGTTCTGGGTGGTTACTAAGTGGTGTGGTGGGAGGAGCAAACGACAGACACAGTGGGTGTGGCGTCAGGCCTTGGAGAGGCTTTTATTTAAAGGGGTCATATGATGCGATTTCAAGTTTTCCTTTCTCTTTGGAGTGTTACAAGCTGTTCGTGAATAGATAAGATCCCTAAAGTTGCAAAAACTAAAGTCTCAAATCCAAAGAGATATTCTTTATAAAAGTTATATTCTTTATAAAAGTTAAGACTCGTCCACGCCCTCCTAAAACGGCTCGTTTAAACACACCCCCACATGTCTATGTCACGATGTAGGAATATTTGCATAAAACCACTCAAATGTTCATGCAAAGAAAGAAGGCGTAACTTTATTGTTGCTGCTGCCGCCGCCACCATGTTGTGAAGATGCTGTGTGTTTCGTTGCAAAAGCGAAAATAGTTTGTTTCGCCTTCCAAAAGAGGACACGACTAGAAATCAGTGGTTAAGTTGTATTTACAACACTGTTCCAGCTGAATAAATTTAGGTTTGACTGTATCTATTTGATAAATTAAGTGAACCAACTAGCATTATTTATACTCTTTTGGTTTCTGTACCCAATATTTAAAAAATTTACAAATGCAATAAAAATACTGATATCGGTACTCGGTATCGGCAACTACCAAAAATAAAAGTATCGGTATGGGGCGAGTGCTGGAAAAAGTGGTAGCGTTGCATCCCTAGTTTTATGTTTACGTGGCGTGATGCAACGCGTAAAACGACAGTATAAGTCATTATAATCCATAATTATGTCCCCACTGGATGCAACAAATGCCTCGTTTATAATGGGTTTTAATGTTTTTGTCTCGTCGCTCTGGGACACGACATCACAATATGGTAAGGGATGTAACATTTCCGTCACACGCTTAAGGTATTTGGCCAATCACAACGCACTGGATAGCTGGCCAATCAGAGCACACCTC